TTTTCCTATCTCCCAAGAGAGCAACAGCCTAGCGAAGTCGGGCAAGAAAGTATTCAGAACCTGTCGACCTGGAACCTCTACGTCGACGGGTCATCAAACAGGAAAAGAGCCGGTGCGGGTCTTCTCCTTGTAAGCCCCGAGAGGGCTCGAATTCATGGTATTCTCCGGTTCAGGTTTAAGGCGACCAACAATGAGGCAGAGTATGAAGCCCTGCTCGCCGGGTTGCGACTCGCCAAAGAAATGGGTGCAACCGCGATCAGCATTTACAGCGACTCTATGCTAGTCGTCAACCAGATTCTAGAGGAATACCAAGCCAAGGAAGAGAACATGGTCCGCTACCTGAAAGAGGTTAAGACCGCTCTGGGGTCGTTTAAGCACTTTAAAATCGCTCAGATCCCTAGAGAGAGCAATTCTATAGCGGACGCCTTAGCAAAGATAGCCTCCTCGTTGGATTCAGAGGCTCCAAACAACATTCCTGTTCGTTTCGTCGATGCTCCAACTATCAGCTCGATTGAACAGGCCGTAAATGTGGCTCAACCGGATTCCTGGATGACTCTCATTGTCCAGTACCTCAAGGATGGGACCTTGCCAAGCGATAAGGTCGAGGCAAGGGTCCTGTGAGTAAGATCTGCTCGTTTCACACTCATCGGGGACCAGCTGTACAGAAGAGGATTCAGTGCCCCTCTCCTCCGATGTGTAACCAGTGAAGAAGCAGACTACATCATGAGGGAAATCCATGAAGGGATCTGCGGTAACCACACAGCTACTCGATCTCTTGCGAACAAGGTTGTTCGTCAGGGATATTATTGGCCCTGGATTCAAGAAGATGCGCACATCTTTGTCAAGAAATGTGACAAGTGTCAGCGGTTCGCGAACATTCCGCGAGCCCCATCTCATGAGCTGATAACTATGTCTAGCCCTTGGCCATTTTCCATGTGGGGGATCATCCCTCCACCCTTGAAGATCTCTTCGAAGATCGCAGCAAGGCCATCTGAAGGATGTCGTGATGACCGGGTGTTGTCAAGGAACACCTCTGCGCGAACATCGTACTGCCTTTTTATCCTATTCAGCTCTTCTTGGGTGAGAACCGAGAAGACATCAAGGGACGCATCCTCGGGAACATCCCGCGAGGACGAGCTAGTTGCTTCCTCGGGTCTGGACGTCGACGGTTCCATTCCAGTCTGCAACATCGACAGACAGGTCATTTTAGCCATCGCATGTCCCGCACGGCAGCATAGGACAAATCCCTTAAACCCTAACAGTAACTCGAGCCGCCATCCATGGCTCGAGTCCAACGACGGCGTCGCGTCTCTGGTGAAACACCGGGAGACCCAACGCCATTGCCCAACCAAACAAAAAGGAAGAAGAAAAAGAATCTTACCTTCTGGAGCGCGCAACCAAGGCCGAATCTTGTTTCAGATATCTGAGAGGCTCCGACCAAAAAAGAAGAGCTTTCGGTTTGCAAAGGCTTGTCACTCGAAGCAAAAAGAATTTCGGTGGCATCATCTGAAAAGTGTGAGATTTTATATGGACTGCGAATCGACGGTTACCACCTCTCGGAATCAAAACGACAGCCTTCTCTCTCTCCCTACATTAAATGCGCCCCACGTCGCATTAAATGCCGTGATAAGAGTCGTCGTTTCAAATGTGTCGTACAACCAATGCTGTCAAAACGACGTCGAGTCAGCACACAACGCATTTAATGTGCCTGACAAACGCTTTAGCGCATGCAGAGCGCCTGACAGTGCAAAACTAGGTTCATTGAATCTCTAACCCTAAGGTACGGAAAGGAACATCCGACGAATCTAGGTCGCTAGGATGAAGATTGTCAGGTCGCTTAGGCAAAGAATTGCGCGAGGTCGTGTTCGCCAAGGGCCCTGTTTCGAGCTTATCCCATTCAGGTCGGAGCGACCAAAACCTTCAATCGCGGCATGACTTAGTTTCCAAGGTTCGATCCTCAAACCTTAAAAACTAGGGGGGCTTCTGTTATGCCTGGGAAAGTAAGGGCTGACGTGGGAAAGTCACGTGAAGAGTGACCTGCTCCCATCAGAGTAACAAGCACACGTCAGGCCTGCCAAACGATATGGAGCTCCCACACGTCCATTTTCCTACAATAAATCGTGCGAAATCAGCTTGGGAAGAGGGCAATGGGACGTAAAGCCGGATTATATCCTGACAATCACACCAACCCATGGATTTAATGATGATTACACGCTTCAACTCGATATAAAATGAAGAAGACCCCTTCATTAAGGGGATTCGGTCATTTTTACACTAAAAAAACTCTCTCTCTCTCTTGTAAACAGCACTCTTACTTTTTCTAAATCATATGTAAGTCAGTCCGCTGTTGCGACCTGACCCACATTCTCAATATCAATACAAATCAGTGGACGTAGGACTTGCTACCTTAGCATCCGAACCACTTTAAAAGCTCTCATAGCATTTATTTCGCTGTCTATATTCATACTCACGTGTGCTTCTTGACCAATCAACGCTGCGCACGTGACAATTAGTTGGTGCCAAAATCAAGCATCAACAGATTTCGATATATGTTGTTTGTGAGGTTAATTGTTTCTGGTGGGGTCAGGTCAGGTGTGTTGGAGATGGGGTTAAACTTTGGTTTCTTTGATTTGTGAAGGAGGCGGCGACTAGTGGTACTGGTGCAGCTCCGAGGTTGGATGGGTGGGATTGGCAGCAAGGAGCGAGATTGAGAGCGGTCACCTGTTTTTCAATCTTTATTTTTTACATTAATTATTAATACAGTATATAGAAAGGGTAATACTAAACTTACCGACTTTTCCCTACCGATTTTCTATCCAGACTGACGTGGTATGTGCCTCTCATCTGCCACATCAATCCACATCAAATCTGCCTCAATAATTTCATGCCACGTCAGTCTGGATAGAAAATCGGTAGGGAAAAGTCGGTAAGTTTAGTATTACTAATATAGAAAACTAAAACCCGATTCAACCTAATCCAATTTTTACAAAATTAAAATCCAATTCAATTACTTCGACTTTAAGAAAATTGCATCCAATTGAATAAATAATAAATTGATTTCATCTAAATCCGATTTGAAAATTTTGAATATAATCATTTCCCTATATTGTAAAAAGACATAAGTTGGCTGTCCATTACAAAGCTAAAATAACGAACGAAAATAATCCTAATAAAATGAATTTATCAAGTATTAAAACTTAAAAAAAAAAAATTATTTTGAGATAATAAAAATTAATAAAATAGATAAAAATTTATAAATTGAAAGGCATAATTGGATTAGATTGATTTTGAATTGCATTTATTTAGCAAATCCAACAACCGATCCAATCTAATTAGATTCTCAAAATTGAGATTCCATCTAATCCAATTAAATTACTGAAACCCATGAAAATTGGATTGGTTTGATTGGATCGGACTGAATTTTGAACATCTTTATTGTCAATTAAATATTAAGGTCATTTTGAGTGGGTTTTCCTATAATTGACCAAACCTCGGAGGGTTTATACAACAATCCCCCAAACTTTCAAGCCTGTTGACTCGAATATGCAATCCAATTGACTTGTGTAATGACTTGCCATAAAGATGCTTTTGAAATGCCATCATTTTTTTTATTTCTTGAGAAAATTAACCTTGTAGGGTATCTATCTTTGTTGAAAATTAACAATCTTAATACTTTCACAAATAAAGACTTTCTACTTCATATTTTTTGCAAGTTATATCAGTACATGCATTAATAGTTAAATTTTCTACTTTTACTTTATATTTTAATGGTTAAATTTTCAGTTGACTCATTCTAAAGAAAGCAATTTAGGCTTCGTTTGGTTCAAGATTGGGAATACTACTCTTAGTATTCCCAAAAAAGTTAAATAGTAAAATACCCAAAAACTCTCATTTTTGGGAATACTATTTTCAATATTATTTAATTTTTTTTAAACTCTCTAAATTTGTTAATTTAATTAAATACCCTAAATATTTTTTTTAAATTACAAAAACACCCCAACAATCCACATTTACCAGATTCCGGCCACCACCGCCGGAAAATGGCCGGAATCTGGTAGGATGGCGCACTACCGGCTGAATTTAGCCGGTAGTGCGCCGATCTAGCCTTTTCCGGCCAGATCTTTGGCCGTAACACTCGGTCACGACGGCCAACAAACGGTCGTCGTTGATGGAACAAATGGTCATCGTTGACCATCAACGACGACCGTTTGTTGGCCGTCGTTGAGAGCAAATACGGCCAGATCTGGCAGTTGACGGCCAGATCTGACAGTAGATCTGGCCTTTTCCGGCCAGATCCACTGTGGATCTGGCCGTGGATCTGGCCGGAAAAGGCCATATCGGCGTATGACCGGTAAGATCCAACCGGTCATGCGCCCATAAGGAGACTCCGGCCACCTCCGGTGGTGGTGGTCGGCTGGGGGTGTTTGAGGGTGGGTTAGGGGTGTTTTTGTTAACTTTTAATGTTTTATTATAGGGGGTATTTTGTAAAAAAAAAACATAAGGGGCATTTTATTAATTTATAAATTTTACATCGTAATACCCGCCCAATTCAACGTTTTTTTAACTTTTTTCAAAAAACTTTTCCCAAAACCCCTAAATTTTGAACCAAACGAAGCCTTAGACTCTGGAGGGTTCTGAATAGGAAAATTATATATATCACTTAATGGGTGCTCAAAAAAAAAAAAAAAAAATATTACACCTATAGTCTAAAATAACTCATTCCATTCATTCAAGATAGCACTTCTAGGCTGCCTAATTATCATTTCACATATTGGTTTGATTAAATTTATTATGGCCGAACGACATGCACCCACCTATAATTTGTCATAAAGACAATTGGATACCCAAAAGGCTTAAAAATGATAAACAATCACTTTCCGTTAGAATCTATTAGCGAATTCTGTTTGAAGAAGGACAGTATGATAATTTTGCAGTCAGCCGAAAAAGAGACCACTTTCGTCTCTTTTCTTATTTCTTTTTCTTTTCTTCAAATATTTTCTTTATTGCCATGTTGCCTCCAAATTCATCTCCAACTGTTGTGCCACCTCCAGCACCCTCCGTCCACCACCATCTAACACCAGTCCACCCCCATCATCGCAGCCATCTTCTCCACCTCCTACAACCTCCTCACCGTGTGAGCCCAATGCAAATCCACCTGACCCCTCCACACCTTCTACTCCGTCGCCTCCTGCACAACCACCTGTCTCACCACCACCTCCTCAAAAAACATCTCCACCCCCATTGACATCTACACCTTCTCCTCCTCCTCCTCCTCAACAATCCATTTCACCATCATCTCCACTTGTTTCTTATCCACCAACCAGTTCATCTCGACCACCACCACCGCCAGTATCTAATCCACTAAGGAGTTCACCTCCACCAACGAATTCCCCTCCACCACCACCACCAGTGGCCAATCCACCAACAGGTCCTCCTCCACCATCAAATTCAGCTCCATCACCACCATCTGATCCACCAAAAGCTTCACCTCCACCAAAAACACCAACTACTTCCCCAACCAACCCACCACCCACCACCCCAGGTATTGATAAGGATCAAGAATAGAATAAAACCTTGGTCCTTAGTGGGTGTAGTTGGAGTTGTATAAGATATTTTTCTCTAAGCTTCTTTAGCTAAATCAGACATGATGGTTAAAGGGGTGTGAAGTGTGATCAACCTTCCTTAAAAAAAAAAAAAAAAAAAAAACTCAAGGACCCTTTACTCTCCCTCCAAAACTTGGAAAGGCAAAATCTTTAGAGAGAAAGAAGGAAGATTGGAAATAGAGAGTCAGAGATGGAGTTTCATTAGAAGGTGGTAAGTGGTGGAGACGAAGACATTGAAGTATTGTTTATTATAATGCAGCGAAAAAGAAAGAAGAAAAGAGAGGAAATTGGCCTTTTTTTTAATTGAATGGAAAATTACGACACTGCCCTTATTCAGACGGAATTTATTAACAGATTTTAATGAAAAGTAACTGTTTGTCATTTTTAAACCTTTTGGATACCAAATTGTCTTTACAACAAACTATGGGTAGGTGTATGTCGTTCAGCAAATTTGCTATATGTAAAAACTAAGAGAAATTTTAAATTTTCTGTTAAAAAATATATATCAGTTTTTCAATTTGAACGATATGAAGTGTATTTGTGTTTCAATGTGATGAAAATTGATTCTTTTTTTTTTTTTTTTTTTCGCAAATATTTATATTGAGGTTTGCGTTTATGGCTTCCAATGAGTTTGCGTACTGATTTCCTAGTTTGTGTGGTTCATTACGTGAAATGGATAATGATAATGATGCCTTTGGTATTCATCATTTCACGTGGAAGGACCACGGGAAGTGATTAAAGGCATATTACCTCTCCCTATAACCGGTCAAAGGACCAAATTTACTGTTCATTTTAAGTAGTCATGCAATTATACGAATGATAAAAAATGCAAAATTAAACTTTAAATACAATTAAAACTGTCACTTTGCTCAAAATAACCTAGTTGATGTGATGGATCTTCGAAATCATATGATCCACTTTGCGTGATACACCACGTGAATTGGGTAATTTCATGCAAAGTGATCGTCAATAAAAATTCCAAGGCTTCTTATGTTCACTCACTCTCGTTTGATATATTGATTCAATAATTATACGATAAAAAAAAAAAAATTACAACAACCAAGTATAATTCCACCAATGGAAACAATTTTTCGTATGACAACACATAATTTAAATTGATTTCGCAAGCACTAAATAACAAAACATTGAAAAAGTATTCTTTTTATATATCAATGATCTTATCTTGATAAAGTGTGTAATACTCTTTGGTTTTTGTAGAATAATACGGTGGTCATGATGTTATGTGTATGTCTGGTAACAGTAGTGGACCCAGGATTTTTGCTCGGGGGGACCTCCACAATTCTGCCATTGTTTGTCAAACAACTAATGAAAACTTTAAAAAAATTATCAAACCTTAAGTAAATGATATAATATAATAAAGTAATGCAATAACACAATACTTTACTACATGAATAAATCTATGAAAAGCATAACATTGAGCAAATTATGTTGAAAATAACATCCAATTCACGAGGAAACATAAGAAAATTTTTATGTAGAAAAACTTTTTCAATTAAAGAGAGCAAAAGACCACGGAAATCTAATGATCCATTTAAATCTAATATAATTAAAAGAGTTCACAACAATCATAATTCAAAAAAATGTTCTACACAAATTTCTCTCTTTTTTTTTTTTTTAATTTTTTTCGCTCTCAAAGATTATAATATAAATTTTCATAACTTTGATCAGGCATAGCCTAAGCTACAATCAAAACTTAAATTAAGTCAACGTTACCTTGACTTTTAATATGAATTAATAAAAAAGAGATAAATTTTCTTAGTATAAACATAGATAATAACTCAAACTTCTTAAATAATTTTGAATTTTATGTAATGGACCGTACCCTGACTCTGATACCAGTCCAGTCACTTCACGCAAGCGTCCTTCGTGATATTGTCACGAAGGACGCTTGCGTGAAGTGGCCGGACTGGTATCAGAGTCAGGGTACAGTCTGTTACATAAAAAGGAGTCACGAAGGGCGCTTGCGTGAAGTGGCCGGACTGGTATCAGAGTCAGGGTACGGTCTGTTACATAAAAAGGAGCTAGTCAAGCGATGACGTTTGAAATGTAGGAAAGTGATGGGTGAAGGATGAAGAATAACATTCAGTAAAATATAGTTAAGGTTTAATTTGGGAACGCATGAACATTCTTAAACAAAAAAACAAAACAAACTCACAAAATGCATGCCTTTTTCCATCAAATTAGAATAAAAAACTTCAAAAAATAAGTATGATTCAAACCTAAAGTAAATTAAAATGAAATGAGCAATACACATACCTAAAATTGATAAAACAGAAAACGAAGCTAATTGTGGCACCTTGATTAGTGAAAGCTTCAATAATTTCAGTCTTCAAAAGTTTTAAGAACGAATAACATAGAGAAAGTGAAAGAGAGAATGAGAGAATAAAGAATTTTAGGGATAAAATCATAAAAAACAGATTGACATAGAAAAAAGTGGTTGAAAGTTTTAAACTTTTGATATGATGTAGGTTTGAAATATATATATTAATAATAAGTTTTTTACGAGTCTGGATATTATATAATATTTCTCAATTTTTTTTAAATCTGAAGGTAGACTTATATATATATTATAATTATATATATATATAATATATATATATATAATATTTATATATATATATATATATATATTAATAGAATTTTTTAATAGTCTATATAAACTTTTTTTTTTTTTCAAATGTGGGCCAAGGGGCTGGGTCCGCCCCGTCTGGTAAGGTTTTGAAAGGTCGGGACGATGGCATTTTGGTGTTTAATGAGGTATTTTAATGGAAAGGTGTAGGGTTTTGAAAGTTGGTGAATTATTAAAAACCCCACAATTTTTAATCATTTTTATAATCCTTTTCTCAAATATTAGAGGAGATTCTTGGAGTTTTTTTTTTTTTTTTTTTTTCTTAAGATACAAAAGGGATACAGTTTAGTTTTATAAAACAAATAATTTCTTCAAAAACTTAAGGGAGATATATAAAATAAACTCTATTAGATTGAGAGAGACACGAATCCATACAACTAATGAGAATTTTTTAATCTTATCACAATAATGTTCGGGGAGCGACGTCAACGGCTGTCAATCACCCAGTATTATTCCTGAAGGTAACATATTGGAGCCCTTTACATAATTACAATTATACTCGAGCACAGCGTATGAGGATTTAAAGTAAAAATAATAATAATAATAAAACATGTCCATAATCTCATGAAAATCTTGGATTCAATTAAATAAACATCTTGAAGTTAATTTTATGTTTATCAATAATCTTGGAAATGACAATTTGAAAGGGATAAATAAGTTTAATAATTTATCGTCGTCAACTATATAATTAAATTGAAGTAACCCTCATGACTCACACAACCTTAAGTAGATTATTGTTTCATGAATCCAAAGGCCACCACAATAAACATTATAAATTTGGGATTGATTTAACTAGAATGTGATGTCATTTTCACTCTTAAAATTTGGTTTGATAATAAACTTAAGAGTAAACGACATGTTCCCACCCAAGGTTTAGCGAAATGGCAAAGTCCTACCTCTGGTTTCATAAATTCTAGATTCTCACCCTTAAATTAACACGGTTAGTGATTATTGCATTCTAACACAGTATACAGAGTGTCATTACCAAACTGTCCTTGAAAAATAAATTAATAAATTACTTTTTAAGCCCCAAATTAATAGAATTTGAAGACAATAATAATTAGCTTACAACTTAATCTCACAAACTCTCTCTCACAACCCCTATGTGGCAGTTCCCAGTTTTTTGCTGATGAATTTTGAATTTTGGGAAATTCATCAGCAAAAAAGTAAGAGCTGCCACCTAGGGGTTACGAGAGACAATTTGTGAGATTGAGTTCTAGGTATAGTATTGCCCATTTGAAAATAATCATCTTACTTTCCAATTTATTTCAATAACACCATTTTCTTTAACATTCCTCTTCTTCACGGCCCTCCATGACCTCCTCCACCATGTGATTGTCGCTTTCAGGCCAAATTGGCCTGGTTCCAACGTCGTTGGAACCCCCGACACCACTAAACACATCCCCTCACCTCTCATAAAAACCCCTATCATTTCCACCCTCTACACCACCAAATTGTTGGCATCACTCATTGTGGAATCACGCGCTTCTTGCCGATTTTTGACAAATTTCAGTGACGAAAACCTACTCCGACACTATCTTTTGATCCACCGGCGTCCCTTCTCTAAAACCTCCACCACCCCAATGACTTGTGTGACATTTGAAACTGTGTTTTAATTAGGAGTTTGTTTTGAAGCTTGGTTGAAGGGAAAATGATTGTTTATGGAAGTGTTTCTTCTTGTTGATTGATTTTTTTTTTTTTTTTTTTTCTAACCATTTTCCTTGTTGCTGGCCACCAAAACCACCTACCTTTGGACTAGACCCACCACTTGCTTGACCCTTTGCCCCAACCAACACCCAAGCACATCTCCCCCCTTGTGCGTTGGTCCTGCACGTATCTCTAGCGTGCACAAGCCCGCGCGACGACCAAAATCTGGCCACCGTGAGGGCCAAGAAGCAACCATTTGGCCACTGCTTTTGGCCCACGCAAAGGCCAAATTTGGCCACTGCGAGAGAAATTATAGAGAGAGGGTGCTTGTGAGAGAAATTTTAGATGTGGAGGGTTATTTTAAAATTTTCATTTTCATTTCAGATTTAATATAGTGCAAATGACCACTTTACCCTTTGACCATTATATTAAACAATTTTCTGTTAATTTAATGGTGGAAATCTAGAATTTATGAAACTAGGGGTGGGAACATGTCGTTTACTCTAAATTTAATGACTTCATAAGTTGTCTCTAACATCAGATTTTAGTAATTTCTTAAAACTTTATAAATGTCTCAAACAATTTTAGAAAAGATTTATTAATAATTGTTAAAATTAAATGAATTTTTTATTAGGAATTTAAAAATTGTTAAGATTTTATTTATATTTTGTATCAAGCTCAGTAGAGATCAATGACTTTCAGTAAAGAAAAAAAAATCTTGTGATTAGAAAAACATAAGATTAATTTTCAAAAGCATACTGTTAAACCCAAAAAATAAAAAAAATTAAATAGGATGATTGACATTTTTTTAATACTATCATATGAATAATAACTAAAATTCAATATATTTATATAGTTTTAATGTGTTGGGATAATGCTGCAAATTCAATCTCAATCAACCAAAACTAAGAGGAAAATCTAATCTTTTTCCCCTCTTTGTGCAACCAAGCCAACTGATTTACCACCAATCAAATAAGCAAATAAATTAAGGCAATCACAATCAAATCAACACACCTAACTTTTAACATGGAAAACTTTTTAAGGTGGAAGGAAAAACCAGGAGGTGACTGTAAACCACCCACACAAAACTTCAATTATCAAATAACAGATTATCACTAAAAAAATTTCCCTAGAAAAAGCTAGAGGCATACAATCAACAAGAATCTTCACTCAAAAGTAAGTAACAACACAATAAATCAAACTAAAAAGTATGGGTCTCCCTATAAATATGTTTACACGAAACATTAAATTACAAAATCTTTGAATTTCAAGAATTTTACATGTTATAAAACAATAATAAACTGTAAATTAGAAAAGACGTACCTAGCGCTATGATGCTAGTTGATGATGATTTTTGTGATTAAGAAAACTGGTTTCTCTCTCCTTTCCTCTCTTTAATTTTCCAGAACTTTTGTTTTGCTAATTGATGAAGAGAATACGTTATGGATTTCTTTAATAGGCAGAGAGAGGACCAAGTTTCTAGGAAATAAACTTCCCTCAAATACATTTTCCATCAACATGTATGACTGTTGAAATAATAATTGTATGATGTTCAATTTAGTATTAAACCATGATACTATTATATTAATGGGCCACATATAATTTTATCTTACGTTCTCCCACTTGGCCCATGTGACAGAATAAATCTTCATGGTTTAATAAATAAAACATAACGTGCATAACATAAAACTATAATACCTCAAATGTTGATCAGATCATAAGCTCATTATTAAGCATAGACTAATGTGAGTCATGGCAGTTCCATGTCAGTAAATCGACATATTCCCTTCTTGGTACCACAATATTAGCTTTCTACTTAACATGATCTATAAGTAAAAATTACATAATGGCCCACTGTAATGTCTTTATTAGAGACCAAACCCTTTCAAATCATTTAAAGTAATTTATGTATATACAAATAATAATATGAACATCCATAAATATTAGAATCAATACATAATTAAGCTCCAAATTAAATGTCAGTTACATCATAATCTTATAAAATCATTAAAATTTCTTAATAATGCCCATCCTATCGACATGTCCAATAAATGTCTTAGGAGTTAATCCCTTAGTCATCAGATCCACAATCATGAGATTTGTGCTAATATGTTCAATTTACACCTTTTGTTTATGAAATTTTTCTTCAACGGCAAGGTATTTCAATGCCATATGTTGAGCACCTTTGGAATATCTGTTGTTTTTTGAGAAGAAGACTACTGCATAATTATCACAATAAATTTTTAGTGGCCTGGCAATACTACCGCCTATTACAAGTCCTAAAATAAAGTTTCACAACCAATTCCCTTGAATTGTGGCCTCAAAGCAAGCCACAAACTCAGCTTCCATAGTAGATGTAGCAACAATATACTGCTTCGCACTCTTCCATGGTATAGGTCCTTTAGCTAAAAGGAACAAATAGCCAAATGTGAATTTTCTTGTATTAGCACACCCAACAAAATCTGAATATGAATATCCAATCACCTCGAGATGATCAGATCTCTTATAAGTAAGCATATGATCTTTTGCTCCTTACAAATACTTTAGAACTTTATTTGTAGCCTTCCAGTGATCCATCCCTAGATTACTCTGCTATCGGTCGAGCATTCTAATAGCAAAATTGATGTCTGGCCTAATACAAGCCTGTGGTACATTAAGCTCCCAACTACTGACGTATATGGAATCCCTTCCATTTGTTTGCATTCCAACCCATTTCCTGGACATTGATAAGGCTAAATTTATCTCTTTTCTAAATTGGAACAACACTTGATGAGCACTTTTCCATTCCGAAGCGTTCTAGAATTTTATTAATGTATGCTTTTTTAGACAACCCTAACAGTTCTTATGATCTATTCCGGAATATTTCTATCCCAATCACATAAGATGCCTCTCCCATATCTTTCATTTCAAAGTTCTTAGAAAGAAATTTCTTGGTCTTGTGTAATAAGAAAAAATATTAGTAGTCAACAAGATGTCATCAACATATAAAACCAAAATTATAAACTTACTCCCACTAACTTTCTGATAGATACACCGATCAACAGCGTTTTCTTTAAATCCAAAAGAAGTGATGGTATCATTAAATTTAAGATACCATTGGCGGGAAGCTTGTTTAAGTTCGTATATTGACTTGTTAAGTTTACACACCATGGTTTCTTTTCCCTCGATGGAAAAACCCTCCGGTTGATCCATATAAACCTCTACTTTTAAATTCCCATTCCAAAAGACAATTTTCACTTTCATTTGGTGCAACTCTAAATCATAATAAGCTACCAAAGCCATAGTAATTCTAAAAGAGTCTTTCTTAGAAACTAGTGAAAAAGTTTCCTTATAGTCAATACCATCTTTCTATGTAAAACCTTTGGCAACAAGTATGACCTTGTGTCATTCGATATTGCCATTTGAGTCATGCTTGGTCTTAAAAACTCATTTACTTTTACAATCTTTAGGCAATTCAACAAGGTCCCAAACATCATTTTGCTCTATAGACTTTAGCTCATCTTTCATGGCATCTACCCATTTAGTAGAATTATCACTTTCAATGACTTGTGAAAATGAAACTAGATCTGTATCAATTTCTAAGTCAAATTCTGACTCTTGTAGATATGCCACATAGCCCTCATAAATAATAGACCTTCTTGATCTTCGAGACCTTCTTAATAACATTTCTTGTGATTCATCTACTGTAGGTTTATCAACATTATTTTCGTTGTGGGTTGGCTGATAATTCATTTGTTGTTCTTGCCTATTGTTTAATTGTTCAATAATAAGAAGAACAATAACTTTAAGAGAAATTGAGGGTAAAGGAACTTGCATCCTAACTTCTTGAATTTCCACTTCGTGGTTCTAAACTCCACTAACTTCATCATTTTCTATGAACCTAGCATTTCCAACAATTCTTGTACTATGACTAGGAAAATAAAATCTGTACCCTTAAGACTTTTCTGGATATCCAATGAAGAAACCACTGGTTGTTCTTAAGTCCAATTTCTTTTCATGTGGATTGTAAATCCTTACTTCTGTTTGGCAACCCCAAACATGCAGATGTCTTAAACTGGGTTTCCTACTAGTCCACAATTCAAAAGTAGTCTTAGAAACCGTCTTACTAGGAACCCTGTTTAACAAGTACATGGTAGTCTACACCATTTTGTTATGGTGTACCTATCATAGTGTAGTGGGCACATATGCCACGTTTTTCCAGGAACTTAGCAAATGCACCTAGGCATTGCCCTGTTTCATCATATTTTCCATAATATTCACCACCTCTATCAGACCTAATAATTTTCACTTTTCTGTCTAATTGTCTTTCAACCTCATTAATGAACGCCTCTAGCGCATCTATTGATTGAGATTTTTCATTCAACAAGTAAACAAAACCATAACATGAAAAATCGTCAATAAAGATGATAAAATACCTTTCACTACCAAAAGATGGAATATCAAAAGGTCCACATATATCGGTGTGTATTATTTCAAGAAGTTGTGTGCTCCTTGTGGCTCTTTTCTTTGTGTGCTTTGTTTGTTTCCCTATAATACAATTCACACATATACCAAGATCGGTAAAATCCAAGTATAGAAGGATTTCATTCTTTACCAATCTTTCTTTGGAAATGTGACCCAGAGACTTATGCCTCAAGTGAGTAGAACATTCATTTACTAAACCACGTTTAGTTACATTATGATGCAAGGTCAAAAGGGTTTTAGCAAAGAGATTATCAAGATTCAACTTATATAAGCCATCACATAGAATACCAAAACCAATGAAATGATTATGCCTAAATAAACTGAAACATCCATTTCCAAATTTAAAACAATATCCAATTGAATCAAGTTTAGAGAATGAAATTAAATTGCGAGAAATATAAGGTACATAAAGTGTTTGAAACAAATCCAAATGATGTGCAGTGTCTAAAATCAGTTGATAAGTTCCAATAGCTTCAACTGGAACTTTGACTCGATTACCCATGAAGACAAATGTTTAATTTGGATTTACGATTTAGGTCATAAGGAATCCCTGCATTGTATTAGAAATTAATATGAGTGGTATAGCTAGAATCAATCCACCAAGTATTATAAGGAACTTAAGCTAAATTTGATTTAAAACACAAGAAAACACTAGGCTTACCTTTCTTTTTGAACTACATCTTACGTTTCAGACAGTCTTTTTGAAAGTGTCCCGATTTTCCACAAAAGTGACACTTATCTTTCTTGTATTCCTTCTTATGGCTTTGAGAAGATGGAGCATTCACCTTACTTGGTCCCTGCTTACCCTTTCCATGTTTCTTTCCAGCTTTCTTTCCATCTCTTTAATTACTTACGAGGTGAATGGAATGTGTTCATTGATTCTTAAGTCTTGTTTCTTCCTGAACAAGCATTTCATGAACTTCATTCACATTCCATTTATCTTTCATGGTATTGTAGTTCATTTAGAATGGACCATATTTAGGAGGGCGTGAGTTTATGATAAACTGTATGAGGAAATTCCCATCCACACTCATCCCCTGGGACTTAAGTCTTGCTGCAATATTTGACATTTCAATAATATGCTCATGCATGCCATGAGAACCATCAAACTTCATGGTGGTTAAAATCGCCATTAGTGTCCCAACAAGAGACTTATTAGCAGTTTGAGAACACTCTTCCGCAAATTTCATAAATTCTTTATCACTGTCAGTTTTGGGAAGAGTAGACTTTATATTGTTTGCTACACTCATTTGCATAAACATTAAGCTCAGTCTATTTGACCTTACCCAAGCATCATGGTAGGTCATTTCTTCTTTGTCGCTAGCATCAGTAATAGCAGCTGGTCTCTCTGATTGAAGGGACAAATCAAGATCCATAACACCTAAGTGGAACTGGATTTGCACACACCAATTAGAAAAATTAAGCACATTAAACATAGGTACAAATTTATGTGGCTTGTGAATGAAGAGAAACAGGAATAGGTACTACAAAATATAATGTTCATATATTAATGCTTTGAGTTATAAAATTAAACACATAATTCAACTAAATAATAAATGTATATTGGTGTTCTCCTTTGGGTGATACAACGACATACTAACAAACATAATGATGCTAATTAAATTGCACGTAATTTGATAATTATAAATGCACTAAATAGAAACATAAACTATCTTTGGACATGTAAACGAAACTAATAGCACGTCTCAATTACCAATAATTATTTTCATTAGTTACAAGAACAATTAATCAACCTTTGGGTGATCTAGAAATGTCTTATACCAATGAATTCAATTTACCCACAAATAAACAATTATAATGTCTTTCATAGCATCAAAATTGATTGATAATTGAATAATATTATGTAATTTAGAATTTATTTATCTTAATGATTTGACCACTTTAGTGATTTACAAATCATACATAAAATAAATTCTAAAACTAAATGTTACATAAATTTAGGTTCATTATGTAATTACATTAATTATTAGGGACTAAAAAATTTCAATACAGTTTAGGGGTCAAAACATAATTAATATAAACTTTAGGGGAAAAAAATTACCCAATAGTTTAGTGACCTTATTAAAATTTCTTAAATGTTTAAGGTCTTAATAATTTTCCTAAATAGTTAGGATCCCTATTGATATTTTCTAAAAAAAACGAATGAACCCTAAATCTGCTTCTTCTTCATTATTCTGCTGCCGCCAACAAACAATAACAATATATTATTTCACCCAGCAATGGCAATATCATCATGCCTTAAAAGACTTTGGTTTCATGCTACAGACATATTAGTGAGACATGAATATGCAATGAGTGTAATAGAAATAAAGTAAAATTACTTTAGCTATCAAAATTCATTTCAGTGGAAATTTTTAACAGTAAAATACAATAATATGTTAACCAATTAATCATTATTGTGGGACTTTAACATATATATAATAATCATTAACATAAAAGTGAAATAACATATTTTTAACATATTTACTTGAACCCAAGTCCTACAATCTTGCTTCTGGAACTACGGTAAGTTTTGAACTCAGATTAACTCTTTCATAAATTCATTCAATTTTCCAGTCATCATTAATCATCAAACATCTTTAATTATAATCACAGAAATCATGCGAAAATCATGTTTATCATATTGCAATTAAACTTAGACACTATAATTAACACAAAATTCTCATTCCTTGTTTTAACAAGAAAAATCATGAATTCTAAACTCTAGCTCTAATACCACATGTAAATATGTTTACATGAAACATTAAATTGCAAAATCTTTGAATTTCAAGAATTTTACATGTTATAAAACAATAATAAACTCTTAATTAGAAAAGACATACCTAGAGCCATGATACTAGTTGATGATGATTTCTGTGATTAAGAATACTAGTTTCTCTCTCCTTTCCTCTCTTTAATTTTCAAGAACTTTTGTTTTGCTAATTGATGGAGAAAATACATTCTAGCTTTCTTTAATATGCAAGAGAGGACCACAATTCTAGGAAGTAAACTTCCTTCAAATACACATTCCATCAACATGTACAACTATTAAAATGGTAATTGAATAATGTTCAATTTATTATTAAACCGTAATAATGTTATTTATATATTAATGAGTCACATATAATTTTATCTTACACTATCATCAATAAAGAAAAATAAGGGAAGGAATGACAATCCAAACTGTTGGATGTAAAGCAGATCACCATTAACAACATACTAAAATTTCATCAAAACTGGATGATGTTTTACTGTTGGATTTTGAGCATTTCAAGCCAAAAACGTGCTCTCTATTCTTTTCTCTCCTGCTCTCTATTCTGCCCCTTTTCTCTTCTTTTCCCACTCTTTCAAATGAAAAAGACGAGTTGTCAGTTTTGAAAGTGTGTTGCTTTCACTTTTTCTTTCTTTTTCTTTTGTTTTATATTGTTTCATGTTTTTGGGCTTCATGCCCATTTTGTGCCCAAACCCACATATGTTGATGGACCGTCCACCAAATCTCCACTTCCACCTCCATATGAAGGCTTCATCAAGCTCACTGTTTGCCTACAAGTTTCAAATTTCTCTTTAGACAAAGCCTTAGTCATCATATCAAAGCCATTATTATCAGTATGGTTTTTCTCAACCTATAACGACTTCATATCCAATGTATCTCTAATCCAATGATATCTCACATCAATATGTTAAGAACAATAATGGAAAGTAGACTTCTTACTGAGATAGATGGCACAATGACTGTCATAGTAAAGAATGAAATTTTCTTTATTTTGGCCAAACTCTTGTAAAAACTTCTTAATCCACAAGACTTCTTTGCAAGCTTCAATAATTGCAATGTATTGGGCCTTAGTAGTGGCCAACACACTTTTGTAATCTAAATTGTCACGAAACTTCTCCTCCTACATAAGTGATCAAGTAACCCAAAATGAACTTCCCAGAGTTAATGTCACCAGCCATAACTATATCAATGAAGCCATCTAATTTAGGTTTTCTAATTCCAAGGCACAGAAATAGATTAGAAGTTTCTCTAAGATACTTGAGAATCTATTTCACTGCAGCCCAACGTTTTTTCCGTATATTTGAAAGAAACTGACTAACAACGCAACTGCATAAGCTAAGTCTACCCTAAAGCAAACCATATCGTACATGAGACTACCAACTGTATATGTATAAGGAACAGCCTTTATATCTAGTTTATTTTTCTTACTTGAAAGACATTGTTTGCACCTTAACTTGAAATGAGCTACAAGCGGGGATGTAATAAGCTTTGCTTT